AGTTTCCGACCTTACCCTGAAGATGGCGCCACCAGGTACTAAAAACTAGTGGCCGTAATTGTGCAGCAGCTCTTGATAGTTGCTTAGCAAAATTTCAGCCATTTTGGACCAGTGGTTAGCGATAGAGATAGCAGAGGTTGAGGTTAAAAAGTAATAATTCCAATTCTAAAGCGCATTTTTCCGTGTTTCCTCAGAACAACTAAAAACATGAGAAAACACTCCATCAGAAACGAGGATTGCAAAGTCATAAATGATATGGTAAACTTACACGATTTGCCAAAGATATCAACTTCTAACATATAAAACACGGAGAACGACAAAAGCGACTAAAAAGAAGCAGTCATTCTTCTTCAATATTATCGAAAATTAAAAACTACAACTCCCGCTCGTGGATGATCATCAATATCATAAAATCGATTTCAAACCGATCAAAAAGACGTCGGGATTGTATTACACACAACGGCACGAAGAATAATTGCTTAAAACAGTCTGATTTAAAAAAAAAACAAATTATGCCCACATCTTAAAATAGAAAAAAACAGTTTAAATGACAAGCAACCATTGGTTAGGATGACGGCTATCCGAGGTACGGGACCAGAGAATCATAGGAAATCATACGAAAGAATCGACTACAGAGTATATACGGTCGAACTTAGGGCATAATTAACAAAACACAGTTGTTAGAATAAGAATGAGAATTAAAAAAATAATGAATGTGAATGATAAGGCAAAAAACAACATTACAGGGCCACTATCTTGCAAATATCAGGGGTAATGTTTTTGTTTGTATATTTTTGATGTAATAAATAAGTACAAATACTACTAACACCGTTCACATCTTTCCTATGATGGATTGTTCGGAGCGCGAGCATTGAAGATGCCGAGTGAGATCTTGGCGAAACGTCTGCAGGATTCCAGTCGGAGTTCAACAAGCGAACGGATGATATCCCGGAATATAGTGTCATCACATTTTTCCATCCGTGAATATACAAAAACCTATAATTCCTATTACTTATTATTAACTTCTTGTGATTTATTTTAACTTTTCCAATATAAAGTAAGTAAACTAAATCCATAAAATTTTATTATTTTTTTCAAAAACTTGGTGTACGCGTTTACTTAAAATTTAATGTTTTAGCTAGAGAAAAATATTTAAATGAAGGAAACAACTTGTAAAGATGATTTGGAAGGATTGAAGGCGTAGGATGTAGTAGTACTGACTGCCGATTTACTAAAAAATCGTAAGTTCGTTAGAAATAAAAATCAAAAAAAAATCTGTTTATACTTTATACTGAGAAGTTTGGCAACTAATTGAGTAACCATGATATATTAATAAAAACCAAAATAAAGTTTGTAATCTGACCAGTTAATATTTAAACCAACAACTAATATATTATCCCTGAATAAAATCTTGCATTGCAAGTGTTACCGAGTATATAAAAGGCAAGATATTTATAAAAAAGAATAATAAAATGGTGAAATCTTATAGATTTTCTAATCATCCATTAGAGTATCGAATATTAATTGCATATTGATGAGCATGAGAAACTATACTATGAATACACTGTTATTATTGTATGTTTGAGCAATTAAACTGCGTATTAAATAAATAAATAAAATGAAAAGGAAAATGTCAAATTGTTTGGCATCGCAGGTGATATTAAATACGGGTTTCCGAAACGCCTAATCAAATTCCTTGCGACAATATTTTTTTTCAATTTTTTATTTCAAAGCAGCGACATGAACTAATTATTTAAAAAATCGCTATATGGTTTAAGTTATAAATATTAATTAATTACGTTTCTTAAATGACTCAAGCACATTAATCAAAATGTATAACATTTTATTTTTCGCCATTTTTTCTCTAATACCGGTATGCAATTCGTGTGACCCAAAAATTATTTTTCCGCCGTCGGTGGCGTACCTTTCACTGTCCACGTCACAGTCGCATTAGAATATTGGCGACCTATGGATCATTCCTCTTTTCAGTCCTTTTCAATTTTTAAACGTTTCAAACGTCTTTTACTAACACTTGGTTGGAGATTGGATTTTTTTTCTATTACGGATTTTTATTATTTGCAGTATAAAACAAAAGCATCACCTTTACTTAACCCAAAATCATAATACATATAAAATAAATTCTCAAAACATTGCTGTTTTCGAATAATCTGGAAACTTTTGACCATACATTTTGCTCTCTACTTCACTTAACACCCAACTTAAGAACTTTCTTGAGGAATGAGTAAAGGAGAGGAAAGATAGATAATTTTAGATTTGTCTTGTTGTTGTCTCTCTTCTTTCGCTAACAATTTTTTTTGCATTGGAATAATAATAATAGAGAATTAGTTTCATTTAATGTTTTCTTCAACATGGCACGTGTTTATCAGATTATTATATTACAAAGGAGTAGACTCAGGTACTTTACAGCTTTCTTATAGGTGAATCGATTCATAGAATTACCCAGGATAAACCAACAATGTAGGGTATTCCCAGTAAAATATAAACGTTCTTTGTTAAATTAATTAAATAATATTGCCAACAGAATATTTAGATAATTCCTTGTTTTCACATTTATTTTTTTCTCTAGTATGTATGAATTAACACACACAGTTGATTCTCCGTTTCTTCCGCGAAACAACATTTCCCAAGTTGGAAGATTGAATAAAACCGATTGGTTGGTTAGTTTAATGAATTTAATGATCAAACTTTTTCTCACTCTCTGTACCGAAAGAAAAAAGGGCACATCAGGTAACAAAGTAAGGAATGTAGGCCGATTTGTAATATGAGAGCAAGGCAAACAAGTCTGCATGGATGACATCGCAAATTTTTGAAGAGGAGACAGAATGCGAACAGGAATTGCAAGATGATCAGCCACTAAGCGAGTGGATAAAGCAGTTTCAAACAACAATTAAGTTTACAAGTGAGGAGTTGCGGACTTGACAGAGGAAGCCATATTACAACAAGCAGGAAAGGGTGACGAAGAGCACCAAGAGGAATAAGAAGATGAAGAGGTGGATCTGGGACCACCACCAACCATTCAACAAGCCCTATATTCAGTTAAGCTGCTAGAGAAATTTTAAATGTATTATGGGAAATTTGGCCCTGTCGAAGAAATGGTGAAACTACAGGTCAAAGTACGAGATATATACTAAAAAAAATCAAAAGAAAATGACCGATTATTTGAAACATTAATTGTAGTTCTTAGATATTTATATAAAATGTTCCTAAGTAGATGTTAAAATATGTATATAATATAATTATATATGTATTTATAAGTTTTTTCTACTCATTACAACGATGTTATGGTTATAAAAGAAAGATATATTATATTTTTGGGTATAAGAACATTGCTTATGCAGAAACATTATTGATAGGTAAGTTTAAGGGTTTTTGATGTATTTACAAAAGTTTTATACTCAAATATATTATTTTGTAGAAGTAGAAAAAAATTGTTTAAATTTTTTTTGTAGCGAATTTAAACCCAAATTAATTATTGCTTTTTTAGATTTTACAGATTCATGCAAATAAAACATTTATTGTGGAAATTACAACGAGAGGAACCTTTTCAGCAAACAATAGCAATATACCACTTAAGAAATTGGGCAAACTCCAAACAATTGGAAAAACCAACAATTCACGTGCTGCCAGATTTGTTTAAGAAACATTAATGAATTTGTTTTTATCCCACAGTATTCCGACAAAAAAAATATATGGTTAAACCGGCACAAAATTTAAAAATATTTTATTCTAACCTATTTTAAGTTACTTGTTTGGCTCATGGTATCCCTGGGTGGCCCACAGGGTGGCAGAATGTATAAAAGACCATCGTTAAAGGATTTAATTAATCAAGTAAAAAATATATTTCCAAAAGCACCTTCACGTGTTCAATTTATTCAATTGAAATTGTCCAAATTCTCAATTATCACCATAACACTCTTTTTTCTAACCCAATGGTGAAAGAAAATTTAACATTTTTAAAAACAAATTATGCTTTTATACCTATAGCACTCACGAAATCAGAGACAACCTCTGTTTCAAAATAACGCAGGCTTCAAAGTCCTAAACAATATTTTAGACATTTTTAGAGACAATTTCAGTAATTTCAATACAGAACTGGACTTGTATAAATTACAAACACGCTTAATTCCAAAACTAAAACAGTGTCCTATGTCTTCGGTAGATATCGAAGTATTTCCAATTATTTAAACATATGTTTACAGATATTTACAGCTAGAAGACACATTTTTCTTATGGGAAATTTGTTTGTTTGTTGAACTACGAATTGTATGTTGTGCAAGTGGCTATTATCTGAATGTATCAATGGTAAAATTTTTATGTTTTGCAATTTACAATTTCCTATGTTTTTCGTTTGCATCTTTTTCCGCTGCTTAGTACTAATAATGTCCCGAAAATTGAACCTCGTGGCACTTCTCTACGATCAGAAAATATTCGTTAAAGAAGGCAATCGTCAAAGGTTTGTCAAACGCTTTGCGGAAATTTCCCCACGATATACATCAATAACCTTAATATTGACCAAAAAAAGTTAACCAAAAACCAACGGGAGTTTGAACATTTCAGCTTATATAATAAGAAAAACATTGTGGTTTCTCAAAAATGGACAGTTTCCTTTTTCAGTCTGTACAGGTTCGATTTAAAATAAAAAAAAGCTAGATAATTTTTAAGCGACTCTTATACTGGACACCCTGTATAAGACGGAGCTGCGCGTTATTAATACACCCAAAGCCCCCCAGCGAAATGTATTCCTTCCCCCTCGAAAATCAAATATTAATAACTACAACCGATCATTTGGGATGATAACTGCTTCGATAATAAAGTCACACTTACGGGAAATTGGAAGTAAATGAGTGTAAAGAAGGACGAGCACCGAAATGGCATGAAGGGATGGCGTCGGAGTGCAAACGGCCGGGGCGTGGGGGGGGTCGATATTAATTTGTAATTTTGTACAGTTAGGTTTGGCGCGTTATATATATAAAACTCACCTCGTCCTTGACACTGAGATCGGTGGGGGCGGGGGTGTGCATGCCCTGCAACGCGGGTGCTCCCGAGGGACCCAACATTTCTCCGCTTTCGTCTTCCACGCTGCCCTCAGCCATATCAGCCTCGCATCCTGACTCGTCTGAAACGTAAAAGCAGATTTAGAACGGTCAAACAAACGCACTATATCGAAATTCGATATACCCAAACTTACTTATTTTATTCAAAAATTGACACTTTGGTTTTGTGATTAATCAAGTTTTACTAGAATAACGGTGTAAACCCAGACAGCACACAATATCCCCGGTATATCCGGTGTGGAGGATATTCTCAGGAAATACGTTAACATCCCAGGGATATCCTCTGAATGGATAGCTTGCGGATTTACTTTACACGATCTACGATACGATAATTTTTAAATCTGTCGATGATATTTTAATATCTAGTGCATTACGGTGTCCTTAGTCTCAATTTTAACCTCACCCTGATTGGAGAATAGTATTATGCATCAACGCTTGAAGACTATTTGGATGATTGACCTTTGATCCACTACAATAGGATGTATCTTCAACAATATGGCGCTTGGCTTCACAATGCAATACAGATATCTCATTATCTTTCCATATAGTTTCTTGGCAGATGGATAGGGAATAATGGACCATATTTTTTTTACCATATCTCGTTTTTCTTGATAAGTAAAGTCCATTTTTAAAGACTCAGTAATGTACTAGATATAAAAATGTCATCTAAAGATTTAAAAATTCATAGCTTACTATGGCATAAACGTTTTTTCCTACTCCCGCCTGTAAAATAGCTAATTACACACCGATCTAGCGTGCGGGAAGCGTCACTTTACCACGTCACTTTCATTTCCCACGGATCCGAGCCACTTCGGGATTTTACCACACGGGTTGGGGAGCAATCGGATGTTTTCGGAAATATTTCCCAAGCTGAGAATTTTGACGTTTGTCAATTCTGACAGTCCTGTCAGTGAATGTATCATTGTTGTTTTGAGAAAATATGCCCAAAAAAAAAACGGTAGTAGAAAAAGTATAGTATGCAACACGTTCGGTAGACTTTTTAAGTCACTCGTTTATGAAACACTCGCTCCGCTCGTGTCAAATAAACTCGTGAGTTGAATGCCGTTTACTGCACCTGTTGCATAATATACTATTGTTCAATATTTCGAATTTTGAGGGAACACAAATACAACTTTTGTTACGTCAATAATAATAGTAAAGATAGATAAACGAAATGTCGTCAGGGATTTTTGATCTGACCATAAGATGAAGTCTAAAAAGTTCCAATGAGAATGTATTTATATATACGAAAATAAGAACGAAAACAGGAAGCTTCAGATTTTCGGTAATATTTCTAGAAATAAAAAAATAACCTCAATTTCAAAAGGGAACATTATTTAAGTCACCCTGTATCTTACCGCGATAGTAATGATGAGAGTCGAATTTGAAACACCCGGTATAGCGCGGGGAAATTAAAATGTCTAATTTTTAACATGAAAATCTCAAAATTACAGCAGGGCGCCATTTTAAGTATTTTTTGAAATGGTAAGTTTCGAATTTGAAAACATTTGAATCGTCAGTTTTTGCAAAATGAAAAATTAATTAAATGCATATCAAGGAACGTCATTTAAGCACAGTATCGGAGTTCCGGCACTGCTAGTAGCATTTTCATCGCTGTATGACCTCTGAAGGAAGTTATTGTCAATAGGGCAATATACAATACAATATCCATATAGGGCAGTGCATACAAAAAGTTGTGATCACGGTTTTTATCCAATACATTCAAAATTTGACATTGAAAGACTTTTTATTCTCCTTTTTGGTTCCGTCTGAACTGATTTACTTTGAAAATGCCTGACAAGTCTAACTCCTCTCCATTTCTGAGGATAGATTAGACGAATGTTATGTTTGAGGATTAGAAATAAAGAATATAATTGGCTGGCTTTCCATTAATCATAGCTTTCACTTTCAGTAATTATTAATATTGTACTGTAATACTATTTACAAATCTTCTGGATCTCTGCCGCATCGTTTGTTCATAAATCTAACTTGATGACGTTTTGGCCATTTAGAATTTCACTGAAACAGATTCAGTTAAGCTAAGTAGCTCTGAAGAAGCCAACAGTCAGTGAGAGGAATAATTAAGGAGTAGCATAGTATTCAGTGATTATTACAGAAATTTTCCTGGTTCTTCTCTATATCTTGTCCAAGGCAAGCTCAATGTGGTTTCTGAAGGCAGAAAAAAAAATATGTGGTCATCAAAAAACCGGGCTATTTGAGCCCTAGGAATGACTTAGGCATTGTCCGAAAAATAAATGATTTTTCACAACAAAAATTTTCTTCACAAATGGTGGATGGGCAGAAACAGGGTTTGATAAGAAAAACACTGAGTTAAGATAAAATTAATATATTTATTAGTTGAAAACCGTTCTATTAGCCGCAGACATACTGGTAATTCTGTTCCGACCATTACTTTTTTAATAAAATTTTAAAATAAATTCCAGTTCTAAAATCATATAAACTTTATGCACCATTTCAGCGTTTGCAAACAGTACTCAGATGACTTACTTTCAACCCGATTTACTAAACATTTCATAAAACCGGAATTCACTGTTGACTTAAAAAATTAACGGAAAATGTGTCAATTTTTAGTTCGATCACAGAAATAAGAATTTACCAGGTAATTAGTTTGAATATAAATAAATTTTAGAAATGGACATGACACGGTATTGTTGAAAACTTTTATTATTAGATTAGTAATTAATCACCACTGGTAAAGTCTGTTCATAGATTTAAGAAGAAAGTAAGTAAGAAAGTGAGAAGGAAATATGGCCGAACAGGTCCGTACTTTGCTTAGAATTTAATTATTTGGGGTTTTGTTAGGAAAGATAGTAAACAACATTTACTTACTGATTTATGTATTTATGTTTAAATCTAAAATAAAATTACAAATTATTTTTATTACCTACTTAAATTACTTAAAATTATTCACATAATATATCAGTAACATTATCGCTATCATCGCCTGTTCTAATTATTATTTGTTCTATATTATTTGCAATATGGATATACGACTGTTCTGCTTTTTCTATATGTTTAACAGAATTTGCCCAACTTTGTGGAGGGATGTTAAATACTTGGGTTTCTATAAGTTTGAGGACAGGTTTCATCCAAGTAAATAATTGGCGTTTGTTGTTCTCTGTACAGTTGAGGTTGGAATTTTCGTCAATGTGGCCGTTTCTTCTAAAGATGTTTGCTTGCTGGCACCACGTGCATTGAGAGTCAAATAAGCATTGTTTATAACTTCTTTAGCCTCAACAGAATAGTGTTTTCTACATTTGGTCGGGGGCATCTCCTGAGATACACTAGACTCGCACATATTTTGCATAATTCGCACACGATTCAACACACGCTGTATTACACACGAAATAAGAATGATTACTAATAAACTTAAACTAAGTAGTGTACCAAACCAAGGAATATTAAACACAGGTAGGTATAAAATTATTTTGTATTACGGACCACAATTTTATCTGAATTTAAATTCCGAAACTTTAGGTAATAATCTCGTTGCATTTTATGTTAATGACCACCCTTGGGTAATCCCATTCAAAAGCAATTGGTCACTTTTTTATATGTATGAACAGACCATAACAAACCATACAAGACATAAAAAATCGCAGTTACAACGGAATCACCCATGTGGAACTAAACATCAGCAACAAAGTGTTTAAAACAAATAACTAAAGAAAAACTGTTTGCATCTTCTAGTATATATAATATATTATAGTATATTTCTTCCATTTAAATCACATGATTGGCGCACCTACTACATTTTTCTCAATCCGCTGTCTTTAATAGTTGTGTCCGTATTCTTTTCCTGTTAAAAGAGTTTTTCTATTTCGAGTATTTTCGTAACTAAAACTCATTTTCTTTAAAGTTCTGCATAATTTCTTCATCCGTCCATCTTTTCCACTTGTTTGCACATCTGTCAGCAGATTATGACTGGGAAAGGTTTTTGCTAAAAACAACACATGACTGCTAGTAAAATATTTTCTCTGTAGCTCAACTGTAGCCAAGATTTAAAAGTGCAAAAAAAAATCATTCAGGCTGAAGCGGCAGGCAGTTCTAGTAAAAAACTGAGAAAGCCAAAATTTGAAGATTTGGATCGGGCATTGATGCAGCGGTTCCAACAGCAACGTTTTAAAAATGTATCACTCTCTGGACCTATCGTAAAACTAAAAGCAGAAAAGTTTGCTGAACAGCTTGGCATTATCGATTTCAAGGCTTCGCTAGGATGGATGGGAAAGTTCAAACAGAGACATGGTATAAGTTATGGAAAGATAAGTAGCGAAGCCCATGATGTCGACAGAAACGTCACTAACGATTGGCTGGAGAAGACGTGCACAAAACTAGCACATAAGTACCCTGCTGACGACTTGTTTAATGCTGACGAAACTGGTATTTTTTACGAAATGACGCCAGATAAAACTCTTAAATTTCGAAGCCAAAAGTGTGTGGGTGGAAAACTTTCTAAAGAAGTGGGAGAGAAAAAAGAAAGCTAGTCGTAATTGGAAATTCCACTAACGCACGATATTTTCAGAACATCAAGCATTTGCAGGTCACTTACAAGGCAAACAAGTCTGCATGGATGATATCGCAAATTTTTGAAGAGGAGATTGGATACAGAATTAAACGAAAACTCTTTATAATGAAAAAAAAATAGTCCCTTAAATTTCGCTATATAGAGTTTCGACTGTATTATCTTGCACCGCATAGGAAGAGAGTTTGAAAGATTGTCAGTTGCAAAAGCCGGAACACTGCAAGTTAGTCTCTTCCGATGACTACAAAAAGTACTAAACTAAATAAAATAGGGGAAAGAAATTTGGCTCAGTCCAACATAGAATGCGAAGCCGTAACCTTGAACTTGAACAGTCCGTCGATATGGAAACCGAAAATCTCTGGGTGATTACGCGCAATTAGCAAAATTCAGTCGGACTAGACCAGGCCAGGAAAATAAATCTACCAAAGAACAAAAAAAAGGCGTCGTCTAGCCAGGACCGCCCGGACTGTCACGAGTCGAGCCCGCCTACGATTAGGTTTGACTAGACCTACAGTAATT